GTTTATAGAATACTTTAATACTAATTGATTTTGATAATATTAAAATTAATTATATTAATTTAACATTTATTAATAAAATAATTATATCTGTTAAAATGTAAGATGTCTATCTAAATATAATTTAATTAATAATTTATCAATTTACATTAAAGTATAATTAGGATATTAGTCTTAAAACTTAATAAATTCTTGATATATTACTTTAAATATAATTATATAAAGGTTAATTTGAAATCTATCCTCTTAATATATATATATAAAATCAAATCACTAAAATAGTATTCAAAATTGAACAATTAAACTTTTATTAAAATATTAGATTATAAAATATCTATTAACATATTTTTTAAATAAATTAGATTTAAAGCTTGTTAATATATCATAAATTACAGTCATGTCTTAATATAATAAAATAGCCAATCTAACTGATCAAGTTTTTATTATAAAAATCTTTATTAATATTATAATGAATTATTTAGTATATATAACAAATAATTTATTATAATATTAATAAATTATTCATTATAATAGATAATTACTGATTTCATTACATAAATATAATTTTACTATAATATAATTTTTTAGAAATATTTTTACATTATTTTATATATTCTAGTCATTTTATTTTAATATGCAATCTGTTAATCATCATATAATAGTTTTATTAATTTATTAAATTTTTTTTAAAAAAAATAAAATAAAAATAAAATAAAAAGAAAAAGAAATAAGATAAAAAAATGAAATTAAGAAAACTAAATAAGGCAAAAAATAAAATTAAGAAAATGAAATAAAATTATAAAATATAATTAAATGAATGAGATAAGATGAAAAAATGAAATTAAACAAATGAAATAAAATTATAAAATAAAATTAGGAAAATAAAATGAAATGAAAAATAAAATTAAATGAATAATATGAAATAAAAAAATATAATTAGAAAAATGTAAAGTAACAAAAATACAAAATTAAATGAATGAAATGAAAATTTTAAAAAAATTAAAATGAAATAAAATTTTTTTTTAATAATTATTATCTTACAGGTATATTATGATTTTATCTTATATTTTAGTATTACTTTGTAAGCATGTCACAATTTTGCCTTATATTTCAAATTTACTTTATATTAGACAAATTACAATTTTTTTTTAATTATACCTCAATTCTAAAAAAGTAAATATTTTTAATAAAAATCTAAAAATCATTTAAATATTTTTAATTATTACCTGATTTATCTTAAATTATTATAATAAAATATAAAAATTATATTAGATAAAAAATCCTAATATATAATATATATTTAAAAAATGTAAAAAAAATAATGATAATTAGATTTTTAATATTATAAATAAAAATTATAATAAATTATAATTATTTTTATATTTTAAAAAAAAATAAAAATAATATATATTATATTATTTAATTAATATTTAGAAGCTAAGCTATTAAAATCACCTTATGGGACCCTATCAACCAAAATTGAGATTTTTGATCCATATTATTATATGATCTATGAACTTTATTTGGTTAAATTTTTATAATCAATTATCTTATTAATAAAAGTAAGCAATAAGACCGTCAAAATTTTCTCATTTTTTGTGTAATATCAATTGAAAAATCTAAAATTAGAATTTAGAAATAATCGACATTATTATTTAAAAGTAAAAAAAGTTTCAGATCCTTATAAAATTCAAAATTTTTAACTTTAACTATTATTTGAATATATGATTAAATGAGAGCTATTTAATAATAAATATCACAGTAAATATATATATATTTTTTAAAAAAAATAAATATAAAAAATAATTTTTCTTTTAAAAATTGAATTTTCTAATAAATTAGTGTAATAATATCCTGTATAGTGATTTTAATAGCAAAATCTCAAGTGATATGAAATTGTATTCAAGTATTAATCCTGTAAAAATAATTTTTATAAAATAAGAATTAATAGTAAAATTTTAAATAATAAATTTTAGTATCGTCTTATTAAATAATTTGATTCAATATTTAAAAATAGAACTATTTATTATTGGTTGAAAATGTTTACTGTGATATAGCATTTTTTTAATTATTATTTACTTAAAATCAATTTCTTATCTTGTAAGGTGATTTTAATAGCTTAGCCCTTATTTAATAAAGCTTTTTTTTATATAAATATATGTTTTAATTTTATAATTTATTTATATTAATAAATAACTTATTTTTATTCTATTTTTTTTTAATTAATTATTTATTTTCTCATCATTTAGTAATTATATTTACTATATATAAAATAATTATAATTAAATTTTTCTCAATTTTCTTAATTTGATAGTTTAAATAATAGATTTTATTAAAAATAATATATAATCTTTGATTAAATACTTACATTTTTAATATACAATACTTTTTTTAAAAAAATAATCTTAAATACTTTTTTTAATAACTCCTTTATATTTAGATTTTATAAAGAAGTAATATAAATCTATATAATACAATTAGTAATATATATATTATATTATTTTTTTTTTGAATATATGTATAGTATGTATGCTTTAAAACTATATATATAGTTTATTTATAACAAATTATCTATATATATATGAAAAAAATTATACTATATATATATTAACTATATTGTATAGATTTATTATATTTTCTTTATTAGCTATCTGTTAAAATATAATGATATGATTTAGTTTAAATATTATAAAATTTTATAATAATATAATATTTTATTTTTAAAAAATCCAAAAATCTTCAATTATTAAAGTTAAAAAAATTAAATCTCTTAGTTATTTTCTTATAAATATCATTAATGTCAATATATGATATAAAAAAATCATTATTAATATAAAATTATTAGGATAAAACAGTAATTATAATTATAAAATTGATAATTTATTATTATTTTCAAATATATATAATAAAAAAAAAAGTAGATAAGACTTATAAATTAAACTTAGCATATATATATATATATACTAAAATATTAGACTTAAAAATTAGACTTAATAACTTTATACTTGAGAAATTAAATTTTAAATTTTGATTTAGAATATGTCTAAAAATTTTAATATTTTAATACTATTTTTTGTTTTAATATTTTATATTGAATCAGTTTAAAATAATTCTTATATAATAAAAAATAATGATATATATTAGAAAAGAGTTTAATTATTTTTTTAATAGAAATTTAGCATATGTATATCAAAAAAGTTAAACTTTTGATCCTAAATATTTTATAATAATCATCTTTAAAATTAATTCTAAAATATTACAAAAATAATAATATACAATTTAAAATTATAGGATCATATCTCAAACATATTAAATATATTATATTTTAATAGTTATTACTTTATAAAGATAATCAGTATAGCATAAAATATTGATATTTAAATTAAACTTATAGAGTTATATTTTAAATATATTAGATATTTTGTATCCTTTATTTTTCATTACTTTTTTAAAGATAAATAGTATAATATAATTTTTTATATATTAAAATTAATTAAAATCAAATTTAAAAAACTATATAAACATAAAGAAAATTATTAAAAAAAATTTTTGAATTAATATTAAATCTGAATTTATTTTATTAAAAATAAAAATATAATATAAACTTATAAAAAAAAAAATTTTTTTTGGTAGTTTTTTTCCCTTTTTACTATAAAGTATCTATATGATCAATATATTTTTTGATAACTAAAGGCTATAAAATATAATAATAATATATTAAGATATTGAATAATAAGAATTGAGCCTAGACTAGTTTAAAATTTAATATATAACAAAAATTTACTAAATTTATAATTAGATTACTTTTTTAATATCATTATAAAAATTTGTTTTAAAAGTTTATTTTATTCTAATAAAGTATAATGAGAAACTTTTTTGATAAAAAATATATTAAAAAATAAATACTATTTATATTAACATTTTTGTTTTCTAAGTATATATGAAATTTATTCACAAAATTTCAATTTTTATTATATTTATTTTGATATTATTAAATTAAAATACATAAGATTTTAATTTTATTAAAATTTTATCAAAAATACTTAGAATTTAAATTTTTAATCAATTTGACCAATATCTTGAATTATGAATAATAGAATTAGAAGTATTTTGTTTATATCTTTTTTTTTTTATATGATAGCCTTTTTAATCTTAAAAATTAAATAAACTATCTAAAAAAAGTTTATTTAAGCTTTTACTTTCTAAATTTGAAAGGTTCTCATATTTTCAACACTATTTTCATTCTCACATAACCTAATATAATTTGTCATACTCTCTGTTTCCATTTTTACTATGTATTTTAGAGACAGAATTTTTCAGTATGAAAATATTTGTCACCTTATTTGTCACTCGGACAATTTCAGCCAAGCTCAATAATGCCGGCCAAAAATCACGTGGAGTGAAAAAAAGTGTTGGTGAAATTGGGTAGTTAAAAACGTCACGAAACTCGGTGTAACGCTTATTTTCACCTATGAATTCATTCAGTTTTGATTCTCTATTTTAGGATATGAGGACACCGAAATTGAGTTTAATGATTAATGATTAATGATCGTAAATACTTCAATATTTGTTAGTGATCATCAGCAAATAATTATCACCGATCAAAGAACTAATATTATCTTTGAAAATACTTCAATTTCTCAAGAAATGAAAAAAGTATAATAAGATATTCATGCGAAAACTTTAACGAATATGATGACCCGAGTGATTTACAATTACTGTAATAAGCTAGTGATTTATTATAACATTCATACATTAATGACACAGTGCTCCTCCCCACCAACTCTTGTTTCTGTTAATGATGATTGCTTTACTCGTAATTTAATAATTAACGTCCCTTACAATGATTAAAAACGTAATAATGAATTCTTAATTTTACTAATCGTAAAAATTTATTCCAAGTAAAGCGATTATTTACACTCGACCCTACTACGTATATAAGATAAGAAACATATATATTCACTGCTCGCTAACAAATAAATTCATCAATTTACCCTTGAAAGTTATTCACGTGATCTTCTTATATTCTTGAGCCATGCATCGCGACGAGAAATGTGAAGATCCCTAATACATTTAAATATCATCGCATTTGGAGCATGTATTTCCCTATCAAGCAAATATTTTTTAAATTTAGGAAAATAAAAATTTCTAACTTGTGGTCTAAGCTCGGACCATTTGCATTCACCATTCCTTAATTTTCTTGTTGATGAATCTTCAACGAAAACACGAAGATTTTTCTAAAAGCAAAAAGAAAAGAAATTAAATTAAATCAAACGTTATGTTTAATGACGATAAAAAAAAAAAATTTGAAAAAAAAATTATTACCTTTACAAGTTTTAGTAATTCTAAATCAAATTCTTGTGAATTGTAACCATCATCCGAATAATCTTCCTCTTCGTTCTGATACAATCTATTTTGCTGTTGCTGTTGCTGTTGTTGTTGTTGTTGCTGCTGCTGCTGCTGTTGCTGCTGTTGTTGTTGTTGTAGTAGTTGTTGTTGTAGCTGTAATTGTTGTTGTTGTTTTTGTTGTAGCTGTTGTTGTTGTTTTTGTTTTTGTTGTAGCTGTTGTTGTTGCTGCTGCTGATGTTGTTGTTGCTGTTGTTGTTGCTGCTGTTGCTGCTGCTGTTGTTGTTGTTGTTGTTGTTGATGCTGTTGCTGTTGCTGTTGTTGTTGCCGCTGCTGATTTGTTCTAGGAAAGCGTTGCACGACGCGATGAATATAACTTCGAATAAGCTTTGTATGAGAACCCGATATAGTTTCTTGTTTCTTTATTATAACATTATTATCAGTGGAAACAGTTTTTCGCACAGTTATTTTAGTGGCGCTAACACTTGATAAATGGTGGTCAGTAACTTCTGAAATGGGTACTATAAAAATATATATTATATATTAATGATTTTATTGTAAAATTTATTTATTCATTATATGCTATATATACTACATATATAATAAAACGCCACAAAAAAAAATTTTTATTTTTAACATAAATCACCTTGACTGTGTACATTTTCAGTGTTTACACCACTTGAACTGTTTTGAACATGATTATTATTGTTTGAACTACCATGGAGGATAAAAACAAGTCTTTGTCTACCTGATGAAATATCAGAAGAAACAGTCGTATATTGATATTCGTTAGTTTTATCCATTGATATATAAAAAAATTTTTTTCTAACGAAATAATGAAATAATGAAAAAAAGATTGAATAAATAAAGAGAGGTAAGCTAAATTACTATTTATAGGGATGTTAACGATCGCGATCTGATCAAATGACCAATGTCTAAAATCGATCGCCTTCAGATCGGACCGATAAACATTTACATCGAGTCGCATAATTACCAAACTTTATCTCCGATTTATAATTTTATTTATCACAGATGCTTTTAAATTATATTTATAAATCAGAAATGTTTGTTAATTTATTAAGTTTTAACGCTTTCTTTTTTTTTTGTTTTGACGTCGCTTGCCGGAAGTTCTTTTGCATAATATCACGGAAGAGGAGAAGCAATTGGCCATAAAACGTTTACAGGTACATGCAAGGGGAGACATACAAGGGGAGATTTGCACGGGGGTGTCAAGTTGGAAAATATGTCAAATAGAGAGAAATTGACGATTTTGCTCTGAGCAAAATGGGAGTTGGGCAAGCATGTATTAGGGTTGGGTTTTAATTGACTATGGCATTTTTTATAATAGTACGCCGAAATGATTGGTAAGATTTAAAAGGTAGCGGAGAATTGGACCACCCGTTGAATAAATCGTTTTGAAATTATGACTTTTTAACAATGAATTTAAAAATATAAGATTGGGTTCAATCACTTTATGCTACTGTATATATTGTTTAATTATTTTTTAATGTTATTCTCAATTAATTTTCTGAATTTTTTATTTTTTTATTTTTTTAAACTATTTCCTTTTTCAGGTTTAATGATATCGTTAATTAAATTGCTTCAGGATTTTCTAACAAAAAAATCAAATTAATATCGACAATTTTACATTATGGAGTTCAAATATAACATGGAACACTGATAAATAAAATCTTTGCTGAAATTTCAAATTATAAAGGAAGGTTGAGTTAACTGGAAACTATTGTCAAGCCAACTATTATTAACTAACTTGTACACTCCCCTCCAAAAAATATCTGACCACCCAACTTTTTGATGTTTTATGCTAATATCTCATTAGCTTTAAATACTAGAATGATAATTTATAATTATATATTAAGTTTTGGGATTTAAAGAATATTTCAAACATAATTGATATCTGATTAATAAGTCCAATTTTGTATAAATCAGTGATTTACATCTGTAACTAGCACTTAGTAAAATTTTAATCATGAATAAAATTGTAATCAAATTAGCTACAATAAAGCCTTTTATATATATGATTAACTTACTTTAAAAGAATTAATATATCAAATTTCATAAAGATTCGATCAGTAGTTGCTGAGAAATTGGCAATTTATATATAAAATTATTAAAATTAATTTTTTTTATATGTAAATAGCTAGTCTTTAAAGTTTAATATTTCAATAATACTGATAAGATCTTTATGAAATTTGGTATACTGGTTTTCCTAAAATAAAAAAATAATATAAAATATGAGATTTGTTGTAGCTAGTTTGGTTAAAATTTTGTTTAATAATCAAAAATTTACTAAGTGTTAGTTATAGATGTAAATCATTGATTTTTACAAAATTGGACTTATTAATCAGATATCAAATTATGTTTGAAATATTCTTTAAATCCCAAAACTTAATATATAATTATAAATTATTATTCTAGTATTTAAAGCTAATGAGATATTAGCATAAAACATTAAAAAGTTGGGTGATCAGATAGTTTTTGAAGGGAAGTGTAATTATATAAAGTCATTTCATATATTATATAAGAGAATAATAAGTAGATATAACTAATATTAAAGTAATAAAAACTTTAAGATCAGTGCAAAGATTTAGAAAAAAGGTCATAAAATAGGATTCATATTTGTTTCTTATATTAAAGGGTTTAAAAGCAGATTAGTCATGAAATAAACCTTTCTTGTAAGATAATAATATAGTTTTCTATATGAAGTTTGAAAGGACATTAAAATGTTAAATATGTATAGTATTATTTTCTATTCTTAAAGCTTTACTAATTATAACAGAATGGAAGCTATATATCATTTTACTGTAAAATGCATAATTCTTTTAATATAAATAGAAGGAATTGATTAATATTATTATTATGTTGGTAATATTAAGAGAAAATAGTTTATTTAATAATGATATCGCAATTGATTGTAATTTGTTAAATTAAATAAAAGCTTTAAAAATGTCAGATTTGTTGAAGATTAAATAAAGTAAAAATGACAATGTTATCTGATGTGTAAATTTTTTTTGATAAGAAGGCTAATTCTTAAATCAAAGGTTTATAATTATTGATTAAAATTAAAAAAATGCATATAAGATAATAAAGTCAATTTAGAAAATGATAAAATGTTATTATTTAATTTGAAATTAATATCTTGTATTTCTATTATATTTAAATGATCAATTTCATTAAGTGTTAATTAAGTAAAAATTGTTATTTTTGTGATTGAAAAATAAACTAATATTATAAGTTACTATATTGAAATAAGAAGATAAAATATTTTTAGTGAAAATAATCTTGTTATTATTAGTAGTATTAAAATTATTATTATTAAATATAAGTTATTAGAGTTCATTATTTATCATTATTCAAATTATTAATCATTATAAAAAATTTAAATATAAAGATGAATATATCCTTAGCCAACTTTTCATAGTTAGAAAAAGGAGCAACTTTTTTAATAATAGTAAAAATATCTAAGTAATATTAAATTATGATTGCAATATTTATTATATATCAGTAATAACATATTTTATATTATTAAATTTTAACATATTTTCTTTAAGATTAGTTTATAAAAAGGCATTTTTATCTCATAAAATGATCAATTTAGATAATTATTTATGATGATATTATCATTAATATTGAGATCAGTGATATAGATATTTTTTTCAGTTTTAATTTTATCTTTATTAAAAGATTTATTAAGTAGATCCATTTAGTATAAAGTAAACTATTAATATTTAGAATCTTTTCAACAGTTACAATATGCTCAATAGTTACATTTTTCTGTTCACATGCATAATCTTTGACTAATGATTTTAAGTTTTGATTATTCATCTTTATTTATCATATAAATATTTTACTTTAGACTCACAATAGTTTCTGTTTCCTAATATATATAATTTTTACTAAAAGCTATTAATTATACTAAGTATAAATAACTCTTTCTATTTATCACCAAAATCAAAAATAATAAAAAAAAAATTGTAAAAAATAATAATAATAAATAAAACTTATTTGTTTTTATTAGAAAATAATCAATAATAATACTTAGCTAAAAATTAATTTATAAAAATATTAATATAATCAGAAATTTTAATTTCTAATGAAAGTTTTACTAACTATTCTACTACAAATATAAAAGTTAAAACTTTTCTTACTTTACTTTTAAATAAAGAAAAAAGTTCTAAATTATCAATAATAATGAAAAAGTTTATTAGATGAAGATCAAACCTTTAATGTTTTCAAAATAGTTTTAATAATAAATATAATAATAAAAGTAGTATTTACTTAAAATGAGAAATAGAAGCTTTAATCTATTTTACTTACTATATTACAGAAAAATTCTAACCTAAAAATCTAATAAAGATAAATAAAAATTATTGTAAGTATCATTTTACCTTATAGGACTGCCAAATTTAATACTTGTATTAATATTATCAACATGTCTAATTTTAAAATTATAAAGTTCTAGTTAATATACCTAAATCTCTTTAATCTCTAAAAAAATAATAAAATAATTTAATTAAAATAATGTTGTCTGAATTATAGGTCTCAATCATTTTAATTTATCTAATAATTCTAATTAATAAACAATAATATAAGATCTTCATATACCCTATTAATAATAAGAGTAAAGAAATATTTAATGCAAGTATTTATGCAAATTATAGTTAAATAAATAAAATAAATACTGTTAAGCAAAATATAGATCTAATAATCTTTATAATTTAAATTACTTGCTAAAATTTCAAATCAACTTGCAACAATTTTAGGCTAACTTATTAAAATATATGTTAATCTTTATTTAATAAATCACATGATCAAATTTTTTATAATATATAGATATATATTATCTTTTGCTTCATTTTAAACAAAAAATTTAAAACATTCTATTTTTTTGATTTTTTAAGTTTTTTTTTAAATTCTTAATTTTTTTTAAGATTTTTTATAAATTTTTTATAAATTTTTAATTGTTTATTATAAATAAAAAATTTAAATTCTCAGTTTATAAACTCTTAATTTATTATTATAAGCTTTTGATTTTTTTTACAAATAAAACTACAATAATATAATATTATATAATAATAAACTTATGCAATTGTAAATGTAAAAACTTAAAAAAATAAAAAATATAAAAAAAATATATTTTTTTTTAATTATTCTGATTATTATTTATTTTTATTTTAATTATCAATCAATTTAATTGTAATATAATGTAATAACTGAAAAATTTATATAACAATAAGATTTTTACTTTAATTTTTAAAAGTAAAAGTTCTTCACTTTGTTTAAACAATATTGATTATTTTTTATACCTTATAAAGATTTAATTTAGCTTATAAACTAACTTATAAGGATTACTAAAAGGATATTTTTTATCAAAAATGAAAATATATTATGATTAAATAGTAGTAATAATAATCTTTATTTATACTTTTTAAATTATTAAATATTTATTATTATATTTATGCTTTTAAATTATAGATAATATATTATATCTACTAAGTCAATATATATATAGATAGCTAAAATATTAACAAAAAATATTTTTTTTTTTAAAAAAAAATAAATTTAAACTAGCTAAATTTTAACCTATATATATTATACATTGAATTTAATAAAATATTAATTTCTTAGTAATATTAAAATATGATACAAATTTTTAATAATATGTAGTATTTATTTATCACTTAAAAGTACTTTAATAATTTTATCAGATTTTTCATTATATTCTTTATATCTTTATCAAATCTTTACTTATTTTATCATCATTAGATTCTTTGCTTATAATTTA